CAAACACTCAACCTGTTGCACCAGTTTGATCTTCTTCAAGAATTACAAACAAGCCATCTTATTGCAGCAATATGTATGCTCCACGTCTCAAAATTCAAAGCAATCATCTCAAGGTAACACTCTATCCCATCTCTCTTTCCTTATCTTATTCCAATTTGACCACACCACAATGTCACTATTCTCTTTCTTTAAGATCCCAAACTGAACCTAAAACATATGTTGAGGTATGTAAATTTGAATGTTGGAACTAAGCTATGCAATTTGAGCTTAATGCTCTTGAAAAGTTATGGATTTTCCACCAAATGTCAAGTCCATGGAATGTAGGCGGGTATATAAGATCAAACGCCATGATGATGGGACCATTGAAAGATTCAAAGCTAAGTATGTTTTCAAAGATACAACCAAACTGAAGGACTTGATTATTTTAAAACATACTTTTTTGTTGCCAAATTGACTTCTGTTAGAACAGTCATAACTTTTGCTTCCATTAATAGATGGCATATTCACCAATTTAATGCGACTAATGCTTTCTTACATGAAGAACTCCAAGATGATGCTTACATGGTAATTCCACGTGGTGTCAAACATACAAAACCTTATTTCATGGGATTCACAAGTCAAATTATAAGGGTACTCAGATGCTGATTGGGTTGCAAGTTCAAATACTAAGAGGTCAATTTCAAGTCAATGTTTCTTCCTTGAAAGATCTCTAATTTCATGGCGAACCAAGAAATAGTTAACTATCTCTAGATCGTCAAGTGAAGCAGAATATCAAGCATTGACTGCAGCTACATATAAACTCCAGTGGCTTCTATACTTGTTCAAAGACTTAAAGGTTGAATGCATAAAAACACCAGTGATGTATTGTGACAATCAGAGTGCTTTGCAGGAGTGATGAATCTGCTACCGTGTTCTCCAAATGATCAATTGCCAGATTTCTTCCCCAAACTTCCATCCACAAAGATGAGCACGAACAGCAATGTCCATGTCTTCGACAGTTGTTTGCTCTAACCAGCCCCCACTCTCCTCTAGGGCTTTTATTCTCCAGACACCAGCAGTTCCATTGAAACCAAAGAAGTTAATGAAGATACCATTTACCTGTTGTTCAACCTCAAAGTGAAAAGATAAATTGATATTCTGTAATCTTGTAAGCAAGTTCTCATCCTTGTTTACAAATACCCATCTCGCCTGGACTAATGCCAAATCATCCATTCCCTTCAATTAAAGTAAAGTAAGAAGAAAAATTGGTTAGATAATTATTTAAACTATCGCAAACATTGGTTTAGTATTTATTCAGTTTTTATCATATAAAAGATATCTGTTATATCTTGAAATTACAGCTCATGTTGATGGAATAGTGAATACTTTACAAAAAGCAAAGACAGTTGCAACATTAATGAGAATGATGGCATGCTGGCAGAACAAAGTTATTAATTCATAGTTTAGAATTGGAGTTTGTAAAAATGAGATGATTAATATATTTGATGAATTACAAAAGAAAAACTAATATCAAATTTAAAATGTTCCAATTCCTAGAACTATCAACAATATTCCAAAAAGCAGGTGATATAAGGTTGGTTTGGTGGATGGAGTGGGTGATTAAGTAGTGGAGTGACAAAGAGGATGAAGGTTCAATCCACACCCCCAGCATAATCCAAACAATAATAACATTAACTGTTCAAAAATTAAAAAGGAAACTCAGCCAACAAGATATATATTACTATTTATAATCCTTGGGTGAATTACTAGAATTGAAATTGATATTGATATAAATCAATGGTGCAAACGGGAGGAAGGTGAATGGTAGGACATGGTACAACTTAATACACATCCCTCCGAATGATAACTAATTTGAAATCAGAAATTCGAATCTTGCAGTTAGATTTTAATACTAGTTAACATCGTTAAGTCAGATTTTAATAGCTTTATTCACTAATTCCAGCATTATTAGTTTTAATCTGTCAACTAATCCAATCTTGCAGTCCAACTAATCAAGTTCAGCATGCCACTTGTCACAGCGTCAGGCTATAAAAGCTCTTTCTCTCTCCAAAGAGAAGGCCACGTTACCCAATGCTGACACGTTTTCCCCCTAGGCGCCACCTCACTTCACCCACATGCAAACCCTAATCCCCTCCACCTGAGAAATCAACGCCACCCTCTCCTCGCCGGAACCTTCATCATCTCGTCGGAATCTTCATACAGTGTTCATCCGTTCATAACCGTTTTTCCGGAACCTTCATCGAACCTTCATACGACCTTCAACCGTGTTCTTCGCGTTCATACAATATTTCTCTTCGCGTTCATACAATATTTCCCAGATTTCTTCAAGATTCTTCGCAATCTTCTTCCAGATTCATCATATATTCATCAAGATCTTCAAAGATCTTCATCCTACCTTCACTAATTTCCCAGATCTTCACATGTTCATCAATCTCCACCGTGCGTAAAACTCCCCAACCAATCCCAAGAAGAAGAGAGAAGAGGACTGCGCCTTGCTTCACCAGCCTTCATCATGGGTATGTTCCTTCTATAACATCTCGTTCATTCTTAACCGCCAATTAACTACTTCGTTGTGTAATTTTTCTAATGGAATTCTATGATTTTGTTGTTTTGAATCTCAGGTATTTCCAGGGATTCTACCATTTTACTCTTATGTATTCTATTTCCAGTTTCACCTGTTTAGTGTTTAATCGGTTTGTTTCTCGAACTTGACCTGATTTTTGTTGAGGTTTTGGGTTCACTTTGTTATTTTCAAAATTTGCGACTTTCTCTCTTATAATTGGTTGGTTTTTGTGTGTAAATTGGTCTGTTTAATTTTATGATTTACTATGTTATGGTAGCTGGTAGCGTGATTTCACTTTTGATATAGTCTTCTAGATCTAGTTTTAATACCTGATTGTTTTCTATGGTTTATCGTGTGAAGTGGAAATCACATATTACGAGTGTTTGCGATGCTTTTTCTATTGTAGTCTACTGATTAATACTCGCCGCATGTTAATTAAAATTTGCCTATTGTTATTGATTCTGTAATTTTGTTCAATAGAATATCATACCTAGATTATTTGATTATATTAGATCCAATAATTAGGGTTACATGATTGTTGCTTCTAATTTGATGTGTTACAGTTCATCCAAATTCATATAATTTAATGTGAATTAGGACAAAACATTGAAATCACTATCATTGTAATCACTTTTTCACATACCTATGATTACTATCGAGCTCTTGTTATTATTTCTGGTTTTGTTAAATTTGATTAGTAGTGGCTTCATTCTATTCCCGTGATTGTTTTAATAACTGAGTTATATTGGTGTTATTTAGGTACGAGCTCGGTCGTCAGTCAGCTAACACCAAGCTTTCAAGCAACAAGACTTGATGTGGTTTACAATGCTTCCAACAATGAGCTGGCGTACTCAGACCCTTGTGAAGGGTGTGAAGGGTGTCATTGTTCCAGTTGATGCTGCTCCATGGTACCGTCAACATTGAAATTGGAAGGAAAAAGAAAACTGCTGGCAAGAAAGACTCTGAGGTAGTTTTAAAACAATATTTTCAGTATTTTTCTAAACTCTTGTTGTGCACTTTCCTTCACAGATATAATGTATATTAGAGGGGCAGCTATTGAGATACTCTTGTTTGTGTTCCACATGAGTAATCCTATTATTTCTGATGTTTTTTTTTCTTGTGGAAATTGTGCTCCACAAGTAATTCTATTATTTCTGATTTTTTTTTTCTTTTAATCTTTAGGAGACTGAAGCTGTTACAGAGGAAGTTAAAAAGAGTAGCATGTTCAGAGAAAATTAGAACAACGGCAGAAGGATCCACACATTGAAGAGCAGTTTGGCGGCGGAAGACTGCTTGCATGCATTTCTTTCCGACCTGGTCAATGTGGAAGAGCCGATGGGTAATTATTTTATTAATGATGTTGCTGAGTTGGTTTTATTTAACAATTCTGTATTTGTTTTGTTCCTTACCCTTTTTTCTGTATTGTTCACCTAAATTTTGGAAGGCAGGGAGTTGGAATTTTACATGAAGAAGCTCCAGAAGAAGAAGGGCAAGGGTGCTGCTTGATGAGGCCGGAGGAAAGAAGAAGCTCCAGAAGAAGAGGCCTGAGACTGGAGGAAAGAAGAAGGCATGGAGGAAGAAGAGAAAGTGAGCCTTCTACCATTTTATTCTTATGGATTCTGTTTCCAGTTTCACTTGCTTAGTGTTTAATCGGTTTGTTTCTCGAATTTGACCTGATTTTTGTTTTGAGGTTTTGGGTTTACTTTGTTCCTTCAAAATTTGCGACTTTCTCTTTTATAATTGGTTGGTTTTTGTGTGTAAAGTGGTCTGTTTGATTTTATGGTTTACTATGCTATGGTAGCTGGTAGCGTGATTTCACTTTTGATATAGTCTTCTAGATCTAGTTTTAATACCGGATTGTTTTCTAGGGTTTATCATGTGAAGTGGAAATCACAGATTGGGAGTTTGCAATGCTTTTTCTATTGTAGTCTACGGGATGATACTCGCCCCATGTTAATTAATATTTGCCTATTATTACTTCATCCTGAATAGTATGTACTGTGATTCTGGAATTTTGTTCAATAGAATATCATACTTAGACTATTTGATTATATTAGATCCAATGATTAGGGTTACATGATTGCTGCTAAATTAGGTCAAAACATTGAAATCACTATCATTGTAATCATCTTTCATCATACCTATGATTACTTATAGTTTCATATCAAGCTCTTGCTATTATATCTGTTTTTGTTAAATTTGATTAATAGTGGTTTCATTCTATTCCCGTGATTGTTTTAATAACTGAGTTATATTGGTGTTATTTAGGTACGAGCTCGGTCGTCAGGCTTTCAAGCAACAAGACCATAAGGAGGATCCGTGTCCGTGGTGGTAATGTTAAATGGAGGGCTTTGAGGTTGGACACTGGATTTGAGGTTGGACACTAGAAACTTTTCTTGGCCAAGTGAAACAGTGACCCATAAAACCCGTCTCCTTGATGTGGTTTACAATGCCTCTCCTTGATGTGGTTTACAATGCCTCCAACAATGAGCTTCTGCGTACTCAGACCCTTGTGAAGAGTGCCATTGTTCAGGTTGATGCCGCACCTTTCAAGCATGGTACCTTCAACACTATGGTGTTGAAATTGGAAGGAAAAAGAAAACTGCTGGCAAGAAAGACTCTGAGGTAGTTTTAAAACAATATTTTCAGTATTTTTCTAAACTCTGTTGTGCACTTTCCTTCAAAGATATAATGTATATTAGAGGACAGTTGTTGAGATACTCTTGTTGTGTTTAATCCTATTATTTCTGATGTTTTTTTTTTCTTTTAATTTTTAGGAGGCTGAAGCTGTTACAGAGGAAGTTAAAAAGAGTAGCCATGTTCAGAGGAAATTAGAACAACGACAGAAGGATTGTCAGCTGGATCCACATATTGAAGAGCAGTTTGGTGGTGGAAGACTGCTTGCATGCCTTTCTTCCTGACCTGGTCAATGTGGAAGAGCCGATGGGTAATTATTTTATTAATGATGTTGCTGAGTTTTTTTTATTAAACAATCTGTATTTGTTGTGCTCCTTACCTTTTTTCTGTATTGTTCAGCTACATTTTGGAAGGTAGGGAGTTGGAATTTTACCTCTGAAGAAGCTCAGAAGAAGGGCAAGGGTGCTGCTTGATGACTTTCCAAATTATTATTTTGCTTTATTTGTTTTAATTGAGACTAGTTTCCTACAAAGATGTTTTGTGCTTCAGTTTATTCTGCTGGTTAACATTTTAACATCTTTTAATGTTTTTGACAATATTACTTTGGTTTTGAGTTAAACTATTTTGGTTATTTATATTTTACAATTTTGCCAAGTCTGCTTTGCAATCATTACTTTCTCTTATTTGTTAAACTTTGTGGCTTGTTAGGGAATTTCATTTGATGTTTACATTCACGAAAACTAGTTAAAAACATGTTGTTTTCCTGTAAGCCTTTTGTTGATATCTTTTAAAGCTACGTTTTGAACCAGATGAGATAGATGATAGATATACCTATGTTCAGAATAAGTGATTGATGGGCTCGATAGAGCTGTTAGGACCATGAAAAAGGGTGAGGTAGCATTGTTGACCATTGCACCTGAGTATGGTTTTGGTTCAACGGAGACTCAGCAGGAATTGGCAGTGCTTCCTCCTAATTGATACATTTCAGTAGTGAGTAATAGAATCCTATTATTGAAGGAGCACTAGCGGTTGTAGTTTAAGATGATTCACAATATTAAGAAGATAGAAGCTGCTGGTAAGAAGACAGAAGAAGGGAATGCCTTGTTCAAAGCTGGTAAATATGCAAGAGCTTCTAAAAGATATAAGAAGGTAACCAAAGATGCATTGATATATTTTACCCTCTCCTTCTTCGGTGCATAGCTTTGAGACATTGTTTTACACTGAAACCTTTAACGCAGGCTGTGAAGTACATAGAGTATGATACTGCCTTTGGCGAAGAGGAGAAGAAAAGTGCCAAGGCCTTGAAAGTTGCTTGTAATTTGAATGACGCAGCATGCAAGTTGAAGTTGAAAGATTATAAACAAGCAGCGAAATTGTGTACAAAGGTATGGCTGTCGTCTCCCACCTTATTGAAAACCACTACTTTTGTTTGCTGAAAAAATAAAATTTGATTTTTACATCGACACGCGGGTGCTGGAGCTTGAGAGCACAAACGTGAAAGCTCTTTATAGAAGGACTCAGGCATATATTCAGTTGACTGACTTAGATTTGGCTGAACTTGATATCAAGAAAGCTCTTGAGATTGACCCTAACAACAGGTAAATACTCTAATGGTCTGATAGAGATTTGGTTTTTGGAGGGTTTTGAAGCGATAGTATTTTGATGTGTTAAATAAACAGGGTTGTGAAGCTTGAGGACAAGACTTTGAAGGAAAAGGTGAAAGAGATCAGGAAAAGGTGAAAGAGATCAACAAGAAAGATGCAAAATTTTATGGAAATATGTTTAGCAAAATGAAAAGGTGAAAGAGATCAACAAGAAAGATGCAAAATTTTATGGAAATATGTTTAGCAAAATGAAAAAGTTGGATTCTCTTGACAGTAATGTAAGTATTACTCCATTTCTATTGATTCTCTAGTACATTTTCACATGTGGATTGTGCATATGATGTCAAGTTGAAATCAAAATATAATTTTTTTGCATTTATTTATGATATTCTTTTGCATTTATTTAACATGCAGAAATCGGCGCCAAAGGATGCTGAGCCTATGAGTATTGACAGCAAGGCATAAAGCACCGTTGGGATGGAATTAAACTGAGTTTTTATTTTATCTTATTTATTATTGTTTCTTGATGTTAGATGACACAAACCATTTAGGAAATACCAAATATGCTTTGTTTGACATTGTGGATTCTGCAATGTGTGTGGTGGAACTAGTTTGCCACATGAATGTGTAGTTCTCGCATTCAAGTTTATTTTATGGAAAAAAAAGTGTCTCCAACATAGTGATCCTTCTTGTAAGTCGTGTCTTAGAGGAAAAAAAACTCATTTAATTGACTAAATGAACCTTAAAATTGCTTGGAAAGAACACATTTCATCGAAGTTTGATTTTCTTTCACATATAGTCAATTAAGTGAGTGAGTTTTAAATTTTAGAAGCACCCAACCAAACCCTCCCTGCCTCAAACCAAACCCAAGGAGTTTCTTAATATTCAAATGATTTTAATCTGTCAATAGGATTCATATCATCTACCAGCTCTCACACGTCGACATCACGACTAACGGTTGCTTTTAAGATCAAACTTAAACACCGATTGAGCCTAAAACTCACATAATGGTGGAAGACACCTGGAATATCATATAATAATATTATAAGTTCTTGAACCAATTCAAACGATATAAATCTTGCTGACTTGAACATGCTACATTTAGTATTGGACTGGAATGACATATTTTGGCAAAATCCAATTCAGTTTAGTTTAAAGTCAGATCTAATAAGAAGATTAGGACAATCTACCCGTTTGGACACGATATAGTCGTTAGAGTATATAGCTGAACGGTCATAATATAGTCGTTAAAGCATATAGTCCTTGGAGACATCCTCCTCACGTGTTCGATAGTTTACGCTACCAACTGTCTCTCTGAAATTCATTTGAACAGTTGGAGCAGGTCAAATATCACGCGCTAGATCTTTCATCTGACAGTATTTCAGTGGTCGGTCAGATATTTTGGCCACATGGGAGACCATGGTCCGCGCTAGGGAAATTTCATAAATACCCTCTATCTTGAGAGGGTTATGTATTCTAATTATTCCAACTCATACCTAAACACTCGTACTTGCTTTCTCTTTAGCCCAAACTTATTTTGACATCGGAATACCTTGCGGGTACACCCACTCCTTTCCTACAATCATTGTTGTTGCTCTACATTTAAGGCCAAGACGATGCATTATGATCACTCCAGATCAGTGGCGCCGTCTGTGAGAACCAAGCTCCCCCGTCTTTTTGAACCAAGATCCTCAATCTTTTCATATAAAAGACCAAAGTTATTTCTCTCTGAATCTTCATCGTCATGACCTTTCACCATAACAATGACATCCATCAAGATTCCTTCGTCGCCAGTCCTCATCGCGACGAAACCCCCATTCTCGGAGCTACTGCCGGAGAGATCGATCACATGGATGGGAAGCCCGCATCGCCACCCTTCGACAATGTGAAGCCTCGCATATAGAGTTTTGATCACATCTACGAGTCAATCCTCATCTCTCAAGATGCTGACCACTGCATCGCGGCCTTCATTGTCGCTCTCAACAAATTCAATTACTTGCTTTTCCAGCAACGGAAAAAGACCCGTCTGCTGGAGAACACCATCGGAGAACGGCATCCCCCGGGGAGATCCCTCAGTCCATCTCGTCGGTCTCGCTCCCTTCTTTAGAAACGTCGGCGAGACGAATCTAGAAGCATTCCCTCAGTTAAAGAACAGTTCAAGTCGGAGAAGCATGAACATAAGATCACTAGAAGACGCAATCATACCCCTCCCCAGAGGTCCAGGCACTCTCAAGTGCCCAAGAGAACCAAGCCTCACGAGGAGTATCGAAGTCGGACACTCTCCTCGGTGCAGCAGGATCCGTGGACGCAGTTACTCTCTTAGCAGATCGTCAAGCACGAGCGACGAAGATGACGCCCATAGACCTCTGTCCCAACAAATCATGGATATCCACATTCCTCGCGGGCTGGAGAATTCTTCCCCTCTCGCTCTCTATGATGGTAATATAGACCTGACAACTACATAGAGAACATTGAGGCCATGATGCACTATCACAATAAATCGGACGATCAAATGCAGGTTATTCTTAATCACCCTCAGGAAGGGGGCCACGGCCTGGTACAAGAATCTTTCTCGGGGCTCAATCAACTCATGGAGGAACTTGAAAGAGCATTTTGTCCGACATTTTACTGCCTTCAGGCGTCATCCGAAATCTGAAGCCACACTCGAAGGTATAACATAGGGCAAGGATGAGCCCCTCCGCGATTACATCGACGGGTTTAACAAGGAAGCAGTCGAGATCCGCACGACTGACCACATGAAGAAGTACCTTCTAGAAAAGGGGCTGAGGCCAAAGAGTTACTTCTACAAAGCAGTAGGGATCGATCATCCTCGTTCTCTGGATGAACTCCTCTATCGGACAGAATCCTACATTCAATACATGGAAAAGGAAGCCGCGTATAAAACCAAAGACTCGAGGAACCAAGAGAGTTTCATAACTTTGAAGAAGGACGAGGCATAAACTTTTAGGCGCGGCAGAGATAGGCGACGAGACGATCGTCCCCGTGAATATAAGGGGCCTGCTAGCCGCTTTACCGAATACATCCTACTGACTGCTCCCCGCAAGAGTATCCTTTCTGGATGCATCAACACCGAATTCAAGCGGGGAAGGGTACGACTCCCTAAACCAACGTCATTAAAGAGTAACACCGACTAGACCAAGCATTGTCGGTTTCATCGTAGTCATAGCCACATGAACGAAGACTATGTCCACCTTAAGGACGCCATTGAGATCCTCATCAAGGAGGGTCACTTAAAAAAATATACGAAGAAGGGAGAAGCCCCTCGACGAGAGACATCCGAGTCTAAGAAAATGGAAACAAGAGCTTTAACCTTTAACCATCCCCTGTTGGTCGCCATGTCTATTTCACGGTCAGATGACTCTTTCCACCCCAACTATCTTGGGGATCCTTCATATTTCTCCTCGCACAACCCCTGAGAAGCCTTTCCCAACGCTATGGTCATCTTTTGTGACGGGTACATCGAGCTCATAGTAGGATCAGTGAAGAGGAAATTCTATCAGCTGATTGAGTGCAGTCCACACCAACTACCAACGCTTGAAAAGTTTCGAGGACGCTCTCAGCCCATCACCTTCTATCGGAAAGAGCTCCCTAAAGGCTCCCCCAATGCTCACATTCCTCTAATCATAAGAGCCAGATTGACCAACACTGATGTTCGTCGAATCCTTATCGATCAGGGGGGTCCCGTAGACATCATGTACACCATCCTGTTCCGCGCCCTCAAACTCGACCAGAAGAACTTGCCCCCTTATGTGGGTTTAGACTTGCATGGGTTTAATGGGGCTACTGCTAGACCTGGGGATACGTAGAGTTCATAGTCACCTTCGGGGAGGGAGAAACTACCAAGACGATTAAGACTCAATTCTTAGTTATCGCCTGTCCTTCTTTATATCAGTGCATTCTAGGGAGGCCTACACTTGCCGAGCTGATAGTCGTCCCATCTACAGCTCATCTCAAGATGAAATATTATACCAAAAAGGGTCACGTCGCCACCTTGCATGGAGACATCTAAGCTGCAAGGCGATGCTTTAATGCAGCTATCAAGGGCAGGGTTTGATTGACGCAACACCATAAGCCATCAAACGAGCAAGAGACGAAGATTTTCTCAGCAAAGAAAGCAAACCCGAGAAAAAACCAGCACAACAGGTCCATACCATTGACCTTGACATCCAAATCTCAAAAGAGGGCGGAGAGGATTGCAACGAATACACACCAACACCAACGAGAAGCTCTCCTTCCGCAATTGTCATGCGCCCGGTACTAGATGGGGATTTTGAAGTGATCACCTTTGGGTATAATCCCAACCGAGGAGTCAGGATAGGCGTGAAACTAATTGAAGAGGTAAAAGAGCAGCTGAAGACGTGCCTGAAGGACAACGCATATTTGTTTGCCTGGAGTGCCACGGACATGCGCAACCTTGATCCAAAAATCGCTTTCCATCAGCTCGAGCGGTAGCACAATGCAGGCGCAAACGAAAAGACTGAAGCGTCGGGAAAACTTGTATGAGACCTCTTAGAGGCCAAATTCATTTCGGAAGCCATGTATACAACCTTGTTGTCCAATATCGTATTAGTCAAAAAACATAATTGAAAGTGTAGAATGTGTATAGATTACACCGATCTCAATCGGTACTGCCCGAAAGACGTTTATCATTTACCTAGCATTGATAAGTTAGTAGATAAATTTGTCGGTTTCAAACTCTTATCCTTCATGGATGCGTACTCGGGATATAACCAATTTCTCATGGCAGAGAAGAACAAGAGGTACACGTTTTCATGACCTCGTCGGGAAACTATTACTACAACGTAATGCCCTTCGGTCTAAAAAACATTGGGGCCACGTACCAGCGAATGATGAACAAAGTTTCCTGATCACAAATCGAAGACATGCTCAAAGAATATATGGACGACGTGATTGTGAAATCCTAAGAGGAATTTGATCATACGTTCCACTTAAAAAAAGTCTTCAACCAAGCAAGGACGTGCAAAATGCGATTTAATCCGGAAAAATGCACTTCGGGTGCGAGAAGGAAAATTCCTCGGCTTTTACCTCACTGAGAGGGGAATCGAGGCCAACCCCGATAAATTTCGAGCATTTTCGGAGTTCCCCATGCCAAGGTCGAATAAGTCCATACAATCCCTCAACGAGATGCTTACCCCGTTATTTCTCTTTGTGGCCAAATCTGCCCAACACGCTATGTCATTCTTCAAGCTCCTTCGAGAAGAGGCTACATTCGAATGAATAGAGGAATGCGAGCAGGCTCTGCCCCCATCTTAAGCAAGCTATGTTCAAACCACCTGTTTTGTCACGACCAGATAACGGAGAAACACTTTACATTTATCTCTCTGTCACTAACGAAGCCATCAGTGTTGCCTTCATTCAAGAAACCATCAACGTGCAAAAGCTGATATACTTCACAAGAAAAGTCTTGCAAGGGCTAGAACTCA